TCCGACAGGACGACAAAAAACTTCAAGAAAGCCTTAAAAACTTCGTTCGCTGTTGGTTGTACTGTTTTTCGCCCACTCAATTTACCTCTCACATATCACTCCGGCAATCAACATGAAAAAGCCACATGTGCGTGTGTGGAACGTTGTGCCAATACATGTCAAATGTCAGCGGAGATCGGTGAAAGCGACAAAGCGAGTCACACCAGCACAGCACTCGTCCATTCCGAGATGTCAGCAAGCTCAGTGAAGTGACAGGTGCGTTTCCGAGCCTTCCTCACAGACTGGCTTTTCCTCTCCGCTCCGTCCGCATTCTCATCTACCGACACGCAGAGGGTACGGGCAAGGCGCCATGGATGACGGCCTAGTTGTTCGCGCCACGCACCGTAAAACCACGGAAATGCCCTCGTTTATGCGCAAATGCTGGTCCGTGGAGCGGGCGTGATGGAGTCTCTTGTCACTGGCCAGTACCAATTGAACACGTATGGCGAGGCAGTTGCGGAAGCCACATCTCTATCTATATATATATATATATATATATATATATTATATATATATATCATGTAACATATCATATCATATCATATCTCTATCATACATAATCTCTATCATATCTCATATCATATTGGGTATCCGGCCAAACACGGCAGGAAAAGGTGTCCAGGCAGGATGCAACGGCGGACCAGTTTAAAATCATCGGCTTGTGACTCACGATCCGTCCATCGTGATATTTATCGACCTCGAAATCAACTCAAACAGGCACGAAAGCTGCAAACTCGCAATCTTCGTCCGAGGCTTTATGAAAACGCTGCCGGAGTTTGCTTTGATCACAGTGTGTGCGTTGCATACGTTATATACAAACAGCAATAGTTTCCTAGTCGTGGTAAGCCGTGATGCTCACTAGCAAGTTTCTCTCCGTCTATGCTCGATGCGTGTCATCGAAACTTCTAGGCTAAACCACCAGTATATCGGACAGTCCTTTCACAACACCGCGCAATAGGTGTCACGCCGTGGTAGACGAATGACTGGAATTCTGTGATGTCGTGCGGTGTGATGAATGTATGATATCAGTGATAAACAATTACGTAGCGTTATGATCGGTACCTTACAGAAGCCGCCGTCCTTTCAAACAGCAGCCTTATGCATGTAAGATCATGCCACATATTGCGGCCAATTTTTTATTTGTCCCAATCCTAAGGTAAAAATGTCTCGTGAAAGGCTGCAACATTTTCAGTGCTGGCCTAACATGTGGGGAAGTTCGAAGGACAAAACGTGTAAGATACCTTCAGGATTGCAATGCGGTACCAATCAGTTTCTGATAAAAACAGTATAGGAAAACCGTTGGTGCTGGGGCGATCCCATTAAAGCCGGTGCTGGACCGGTCTGACCAGAGCCAGAGCAGCTTCCGGCCCCACCAAGGCCAGCCTAGCGGTCGATTTCCCCCCAAGCTAGCGAAGGCCAAGGAGCCTTAGAGACGTTTGAAATGGGACCTGTATGCGAAATCTATGTTCATGTCGCAACATTTTTGAGTTGTTATTATTTCAAAGAACGTAGAAGGTAATGTGGGCAAAGCTCCACGTCGCGGGGACCCAGCTTAAGATCGGGGCACCTCACCCAGGTGGGGCACATCAAGATCAATATGGGGCACTTCAAGATATGGGACGTGGCTCCGCAGCCAAACACAAAGTCGCTTCCCGCGGATCAAGAGCAGCGTGGGAAAGGCGTTGAAAACCCAAGACGAGGAACGCGTACTCTAACGTGTGCAGTGCGGTGGACTCCCATTCAGGGGATTCGTACGTAGTGCATTCGGTTCGGTGTTTCCACGGCATTGCGAGAGCCGTGTCGAGAACTGCACTTCAAGCAGACAACCTGACAAAAGGAGCGCGGGAACCGGGGAGGCAGGGAGCGGAGAAGCTGAACTTCCAAATTTATAAAGTTATCATCAGCTCTATGGATGGTGGATGGAAAGAGATACTGAAAAGTAATCATCTGCCACGAACTTGGTAAACTGCTAGCGCCCATTGCCGTGTCAAGTGCGTTTAGCGTTTTGTATATAATTTTGTGCTTTCGGTATCGTCGCCCGTGGTCCTCAATCGTCTTGCTCTACAAGGTGACGCAAATAAGACGGTAGGCAAATGGATGAATGCTAGCGTAACTTAGGCTCTCCCAGGACTCCCTCGTCGGCCTTTATTCAGCAATGCGCTCGATGCCTTCGTGTAATCAAATGGCTAGGCAGCAGACGCAGATGAAGTGTGAGAAACGCGTTAAGAAGTTCGTTGATATATGCATGGCGTCGTTGGGAGTACAAAAATAAAACACAATAACCTAAGAAAATTAGTTTCTAGTTTCCGTCGCCAGTTTCCGCCGTTCAGAGCACTGCTGACATGAAGTTTAGCAAAGTCACGATGACGTAAGTTGTTCAGTGCATTAGCGAGAAACATTGCTCACATAGATAAGACAGTAGCATTAAGCTCATTCCTCGGAGAAAAACCAGGAGTATGGATATAATGTTGGGTTGACATTTCAGCAATATGCCTTTATCTAAACAGAAGCAGAAGTAAATTCGTGAAAAAGTGGGGAAGTGTTCTTCAGAGACCTCGATATCGAACTGCGACCACGAAATACAAAATGCACGAAATGCCTCGTGAAATGGCAGGGAAATAATTATAGCTCCGTTGAGCGAAACACAGAAGTGATGACACCAACTGGGGAATAACAACAATGCAAGTTCATATTCATCAGCAAATCAACGTAAACTGAAAAGAATGTTTCGTTTGCAAAGGCATATGTTGCATTGAGAACGAACTCAGGCTATGTCACGTGCATATAGACCAACCATAGAAGAGCGCTTGCAAATGAAACCAGTGCCGCATGTCACCGATTCTCACTCCAGGACTTCTAACAATTGCTCAGAACATAGAAAAACAAGCTTCCTCTGGGACGTCTCGGTGCACACATGTCTGAATTGATAAAACTTGTCTCAGAGTTAAAAAACATCACACCGATGCCCCGGAACAATCAATAGATGAACTCAAATTTAGGCTGTTTCTGGGTGATAACCTCCATCGCACAAGATGTCCCCGCTTTTTAAAATGAAACTAGCACTTGCAACATATTTGGCGAATTGTCTCCCTCAATTGGCTGGGAGCAAAACCTGGTCTCCATTCGGACTTTTTGGGTAAAAGTCTCACAAGGTTTTACAAATTTCAGAAGTACCCAAAATTCAGGCCTGGTGAATTGGAACTCACTGCATCCTGCAGAGGATGGGGCTGAGAGTGGGTGAAGTTTTCAGTTCGGTTTTTGGTACAATAACATTTTTACTCTGTTCCTAGCTACCCCAAGGTTCAGACCTTGATTAAGACCCTAGAGTGCGTTCTTCCCTTGATTAGTATTCAAATAAGTACCCAAAGGGCTGGAAGTGGACTGAGGTTCTAAGCCCGACTTTGGGTATGACGGAATTTGTACCCTGTTTTTAGCTGTCTTATACTTTAAACCCGCATAGAGGTCATGCCATGACTTTGCGGCAAAACACCGAAATCGTGGAACAGAGCTTTTTGTCTCCTCTGTACGGTAGCGTCGCTCTACCGACTTGCAGTTTTTGCTGTTACCAAAATTAAACAACTTGGAGGTCAAACTGTAGTGTTAAGGTAATACGCTTAAACCGTGCAACGAACCCCGTTGCGAGTTATTAACGATATAGTTATAATGGTTATAGAGTACGCGACGACTTCATTTTTCATTTGATACTTTTTGGGTGGGGAATTTGAAATAACCTGGAAGCCAAATCACCATCTTCAGATTCAGAAATGACGTTTTTTTGTGATTCTTTCGTTGATTTGTAAAGCGTGTGGCTCAAAGCCCTGTCACTGGAGCCATCGTCGTTAACTAAATAAATACTAATTCCCAGAGATATCTGGCTCCACTTTTGCTGCTCAGATCTTGGCGCCATCTGCACGACGGTAATCAACATACTTCACGTCTGGCCTAAGACAGATCAGCAGGTGCTGCGGGATCGTGAGTATTCAAATCGTAGTCCATTCAATTGGCTCGCATACAGCCGAACACTGCAAATCTCAGGCAATCTGAGGCAGGGCAGTACGACGGGATGATCACATACCGCACCTTTGCCGAAATGCTTGTCGAGCACGTTCAGAAGTCGCTCCATAACAGTCCACAACGCCCGCCACCGTCAAACATCGATCTCAAAGGTCTATATAAGTAGTAAAACACCGCTCTCTCACCCGAATTGAGGTAAGGAGGCAAAACAGCACGGCAGCACGGCCTCCAGCGACGCGACGCGCTTCCAAGCAGTAATGCTGATCCTATTGCACGTGAGTGTCCCTGATCCTCCATATCAACAAACCATGCCAATGCGCGGGTTACGAAGCATTACACCCCTCCCGTCTAAGATTGAGCCAACCGAGCATTTAAATCGCTGGTAACCCCTCTGACGCAGCCGCTTATCACCAATGTCGACCTAACATAGGTCACGAACGCACAGCACTCCAGCACCCCAGTGCGCTGTGTGCAATGGAAAAAGTGCACTGCGCCCCAATGCACTGAGAGCGCAGGTGCGCTCGCCGGCGGTGTGCAGACACCGCTCCGAGTCCTGCGGCGCTACCACTTGAGCTTGCCGGGGCAGTACTTGTCGATGAGGCCCTGGTAGTACGGCATCAAGGCCGGTATGTCGGGCATCGTGTCTGACTTGGTGTAGAGGTCGTACTTGTTGAACCGACGGATCCAGGGCAGCATGCGGAGGTCGTGCTCGTTGCACAGGTGCATGTAGTCGCCGCCCGTGTGCCAGGGGTAGAAGCTGTGGAACCTGTGGAACGGAGCGGATAAGAACGCCGGTGGCCGTCTTGGCGACTGCGTTCGATTTGGCTGTGTTCTATGTGGTGACGACGTCACATCAGGGACGGCGAATCCCAGAAAGGAGTTCAGCAGCCCCTCCCACTCCCCAGCGAAAATTATTGCCTTAAGGCTACCGTACCCACAGAAGGAAATGAACTCAACACTGCGCTTGCCAACCTCCTCCCAGCCCCCACGAAGAGCCGCCGCGCGTGCGTTGCTGTGCGCATCTGTTCATTCATGACACATATTGCTGGCGTTGTGCTGCGTTGCTGAGGTGGTAGATCGCGCAGTGGTATTTGCTTCTTACCGGTGTGATTTGGCACGCGCCACGCAAAATTTAATGCAGTACATTGTTTTACGCTTATACAACAACGAGCTTAGTCGAACGAGGTTGGCAGGCCGGTTGTGTTGTAGTCTTTTGGGATAATGCCACGAAATCCAAAGTGTTCAATTCGCCATCGAGATTCACCATTTCAATTTTCGACGGAAACCATCATTCATAACCCATTTATGACCCTTGCACTGCGATGGTGTACCGCTCATTTATATATATATATATATATATATATATATATATATATATATATATATATATATATATATATATATTGAGGAAACGCAACCAATTAAAACATCTGACGTGCCATACATAGCGGCTGAACTGTCAACCGATCGATAAAGCCTCGCTCTGTACTCACCTTATCATCGCCAGACCCTGCTCGGGGATGGTGCACTTGTTGTGCTTCAACACTCGGTACAAGTACTCGTCGTGTCCCCACGAAATGAGCACGTTGTCCAGCCCGCAGCCTGGCTGGTACATGCCGTTTTCAGTGCTGCAAACCGAATGCAACGTAACAGAACATGCGGCGTCATGCTTCAACATCGTTTGGGCTGTGATTCGATTCCGCACGTGTCATATCACAGGATGTTGTTTTGGCACGGGAACTAACCACTTTTTCCCTTTGCGAATGATGACGCATGAAAGTGGAACTATTCTGCTCCGTACGTGGCAAGCTAACACTCGCTGTTACACTCATTCATTTCGTTGTCACTCAGAACAACACAAAGCATATATCCAGGCATCCAATAATCAAGCTCTCGAACGATTCACACAAAAGTGTGAAGAGTGCACAAAAGTGCATCCACAGCTCACGACCTCTCTTCCGCTCCCGCCGCGCCGGCCGCTCGCCGTCGCCTCACTTGTATCGGGAGTCGGCCAGGTCGCTGTTGTTGTGGAAGGTGGTGTCGCGGTAGACGACGGAGTCGCCCACCCGGCAGCCGACCACGAACGTGTCCCCCACCGTCGAGAACTGCGGCTCGCCGTAAAACGCCATGACCTGGGTGCGGGGGCGCGCGAGTCACGGGCTGATGTAGTGGACAGGTGCGGCGAGTGATGTGCGGTGTCTCGGGACCGGGGACAAGACGCAGAGATCGCCAAGGGGCGAGGAAAAACACGCCAAGGATGGTGGCGTTCATTAATGGAGTGCGTCTGAATAAGACGGTTAGGAAGCACAAGAAACGACACGTCACAGGGGAGGGTTTCGTGACGGGATGTGCGTCAAAGTGGAAAAAGGTTGCAATCATGAGCACGTTACCAAAAACGAAACACTCGCGAAGTAGGTAAAAGTTGGCTGCGTGGGTCGACTTTGGAGAAAAAGGAGCTGTGGCGCTAAGGAAGCAAATGTGCACCAAACTAGAGCATGTTCACGGGCGCGATGTTAGCAAAGGGCAAAATGTCACCATGCAAGATATCCGATGTCTTATTTTCTTCCTGATCTGAGCACTTCACAGACTTAGAACAATTGCACTTCTTTCACAAAAACAATAAAAAAACAGCGTATAGATCACCGACGATATGTCCCAGTAAGCGGCTGCAGCGTGACACAAATAATCGTCCAGGTCACAGCCTATAGTAAGTTTCAGTAGCTACAGCACTTCTATGCCGTTCACATCATCCAACCATTAACACATTGAACGCGGCCTGTTCTGTCAGTCAGTGTTGATATTATAGCACATGGAATCGCTGGGTGAACGTAAACGGTCATCCAAATGCCATGACATAATCTGCTCAACGCACAACCTGCATGGCATAATTGGTGCTCGCTACAGGTATATTATTGCTTTCTTTATCATTGCTGCGCATTACATTTCTTGCCTTTTATTGCCGGGAACACTTTGGGATAGGACAGAAATGCGCGGTACAAGTGCGACGATAAGTTTCGTCCTACAACGTGAATCAAGGAACCCACGGCCATTCCCAAGTACTATCGCTTGCTAATGTGTAAAGGCTGCTGCAGAGCCTCCGATGAATCAGAAAAATGCCGTTCACTATTCTCCCATGCAGCCGACGTATATGGCAAGCAGCCTTGGTGTATCGCAGCGGTCGTACACCGAGCCAGTGACACAATGATATCGTTCGACAGTCACCCCGTGACCCCCCCCCCCCCCCCGTCGGGAAGAACGCTCCGCCAGCGAGCCACGGCTGCCAGCTGCGGCCGGGACTCGCTGCTTGACCCCCCCCCCCCCATCCCCATCTGATTCCCGGCAAAGACGCGGCGCGACCCCCTACCTTGCCCAAGTCGTGGATGAGCCCGGTGAGGTGGAACCAGTCGTCGTCAGGGAAATCCTGTCGAATGCGCTCGGCCGTCTGGAAGGCGTGCACGATGTTCGGCACGTCCGTGTCCGGGTCCGCCTCGTCCGACCAGGTCGTTCAGCTTCTCCAGTGCCTCCAGGATGGTGGCCTCGAACTTGTCGAACCGCAGCCAGTGCGCCATCTGAGCAATAAGGTGCTCACGGCTTAGTGAGGTCGGTGGTTGCTGAGTTCGCGTAAAAGGTGCATGAAATTCGTGGCAGGAGCGGACATTTCGTGCGTCGTCGTTTGTTGTGCCTAGGTGGATTTGGTAGGTTGGCGAGTCCTCTATTTGTGACAATAGTGTTCTAGCGTGAGTAGGACTAATTTAGAACTAGTTAAAAGGCGTAGGAGGTTGAAAACTGCATCGTGTCGGCCTATGACTCATTGACGGCAGCTGGATGGCACCTTCGGCAGAGGCTCTTATACCATTAGCGGTTATATACGCACAGAGAATATCAGTAAACGCGAGTACCCGATCAGAGCGTCCTTGAAAGGTGGAGGCAACTGCCGGCCTGTTTACATCACCTGTCTGCCTGTTTCCCGGCAAATGGCTCCTGACAACCATCACATCTCGGAGGGAAGCAGTGGCGTAGCCAGAGGGTCTTTTAGGTGGCATGACTTTCTTCGACATGGCGAACGACCCCCGCGAAGGAATGCCCCGTTACCTTTTGACACTTAAAGATGCTGTAGGCCTTCTAAAACTAGGCGAGAAATGAAGATCGCCAGCCTACAAACGTTTTCTGAATCCCAAAACAGCAGGTACCCGACGCAAGAAAGAGAACATCCTTGGTTGGAATCCCTACGAATCCTAGCTACGCCACCGAAGGGAGGATAAAAGCGGGCTACCCTTTCTCACCTTCCTTGTGACGTAATCGACTGTCTGATGAGTGTGCATCTTCATGTAGGTCTCGCGCACCCGCATCTGGATGGGGTCCGTCTTGTCGACGCTGAACTCGCGGAACAGACCCTTGGCCTTGCTGGACGGGATGTCTGGCCGGTACACCTCCGACGGGTCGATCATGCACACCGGGCCCTGCAAGACGGGCAGACATCTGTGCAGGCAAGTACGCCGAGCAGTACGGGGCGAATCCAGGCCCATTGTTGCAGGGAATTAGCCAACAGTGAGCCTGAGGTCCACTCGCGGCTAGTTGGAATCGCTGGAGCTGATATGGAAAGCTGCTGAAACAGCGGGAGAACTGTATGTGAAATCCGACCATGCGCTCGGAAGGCATCTATCTCTCTCTATGTGGATCCCGGCGAAGTTCAGTGTAGTTACCTTAAACCGCTGTATAAAGATGCCCAACTCCGCTCATTGCGCTTGGGCACGTTAAATCGATGCCGTTTAAGCAGCATACCACGGCACGGCCACGGACGGAGTTCTATCTCGCATGTTGCAGGAGTCCATTTCTAAATTTGATGGTAATGCATCTTCCCAAAAGGCAGTTGTGCGGACCCCACCGACCCCAGTGGTAATTAAAACCATGGGTACAGCCTTTGGTGCACGTCTGTTACTGCGTCCGCGTCCTTTTTCGCCGAGCCCGTCGGGGACAAGGTCCTTCTTCACTTCCGTACCCAGGACAATCCACTGCTTGGTTCGGTGTAGACTGTGCCGCACTACTTGCAGGCGCGGCAGGTGGCTGCTGGGCTCGCCGATTCCGATCCTGCGCTGAAGGCTCATGCCTAACTCCAATTACATAACAAAACGTTATGATGGTTTCACACGATGCGCAACGCGATGATGGTATGAACACCATCCTTTCTTTTTCGAATTTGTTTCGATTTGGTTTGTCCTTGAGGCATTCCATGCCAGGCAAATCCCACGCCGGGTTCTGGGGCGATTTTGAGCGCTGCGCCCCTATTAAACTAGTCCGGAGAGTTCTCCATTCCTACCTTTCTGGAAGCCCTTCGTGAGTATTGCCTGCGTACAACCCGTAAGTATGTGCAATGCGAGGATAAGTGCATGACAGCGTCCACGCGCACCCCAAATGCCACCTCTCGCAACGCACGCAAGCGAGTCCGATGCGCATCAACAATGCATTGCGAACACCCCCCACCATGTCGACCCATGTTTACATCAGCACCGGTGACAACAGTCGATACTGATCCACGACGCCGCTTACCGTTTCCATGACGACGGAGCAGGAGAGGCACGCGCCGGACGAGCGCCGCAGGCCGATAGCAGCTGTACTGGACTGGGCGGCAGGCAGGCGCCGCCTTTTATCGACCACGTGCTCGTCCCACGTGCCCGCCATTGGCTGGCCGCACGGAACCAACGGCGGTACGTGGGCTTCGATCGTGAGTCGGCGACAGCAGGCGCCGGATAAAAAGATCGCTCCCAATGTTCTCTTCAGTTGGATAGCGCCGGGCCTCCTTCGCTGCGCCCGGTCTTTTGTGGTTGTCTGGAGCATCTTGCGCTGTCCTCCGCCCCTGAGCACCGACCCACTGATCCTGTTATAACCGGATATGTCTGCCCGAGGATAGATGTCGTTGTGGACGGATCGGGTTTCAGAGTGAGATTGGCGCCACCGTCCGTGAAGCTGGAACGTAGAAGCTCATGTACATTCCCTTATGTTTGAGAATGCATGTGTGCGTTGGGGCCTATCGTCGCAAATCCAACGTCCTTTCACACCCTGCAAGATGAGGAAGGCTCTCTGATTTTAAGTGGTTTCAAGACCGGCTGTTAAGTCCCTGGCTCGTTAAAACGTCGCCTGTTCCGTCCCGCAGACCATCCAAACACCACATGGCCGAACGATGAATATCATGTATCACAAACGAGGCAATGCACTGCGCATATGCGTCCCGTGGCCGGGCCACCGACGGGTCCGCAATCCGCGCTCCCACGCCTTTCAACCACACGAAAATGACCGACAATGACGAAAACAACTACACTTCTCTCGTGGACAAAGCTCTCTTCGATGCCTCAGTGAAGAGTCGGCACAACGCATGCACGGGATGACCATCGCCGTGTGCACCGACGTAAGCTCATAGACCGGAACCCATGGGGTTGAAGCGGTTATTTGACTTGTACGGCATTGCCTTGCTGAAACCGCGCCCTCCCTGAAACGAAAGCCTGCGTTAGCGCTTTCGACAGGGCAGTCACAAAACAATCTACGAGAAATTCACTGGCGGCAAACAGCACTCAACTGAACAAAACGCAACTGATTACAGTACAAGTAATTTGTCGGTATTTTAACGAGCTAGTAAATCAACAAACAGTGTGTCAGCCAACTTCTTCAGGTTTACGCTCTTGGAATGCAAGAATGATAAAGTCCTGTGACGCAATATCACAACCAAATTAATACGAAGACATACCATTACTGGCATTAAACGCGCGACACAGTACATAACGAGGCTGCCTGCTTCTCACCAACAAGCCAAACGCGCATATACAGCCCAGCGGTTCACCCGCACTACAGCAAACCCGGCGCAGTGGCAGCCGCCGCTGCGCCTCGCCAGTGTCGCTCCCTGCGGCCGGGAGAGCCCCTGCACTCACCCGGCGCGGGAGGCTCCTGGAGGCGGCGCGCGCGGGGTCTGCGCCCTCCCAGTCGGCGCCGTCCGCCGCAGCGTTGCCAGCTCCCGACACGGCGTACCCGCCGCCGTACCAGCCGTAGCCGTCGTAGTCGCCGTAGCCGCCACCGTAGTCGCTGTACGCGGCGCCGTAGTCGCCGTACCCGGCGCTGTAGTCTCCTCCGTAGTCGCCGTGGCCGGGTGGGGCGGCGAACTTGGCGGCGGCCGGCGGCGGCGACGGATAGACAGGTGCGCCGTAGAAGGGCCGGGGCGGCCGGGCGCCCATGATGCCGGCGGCCGGCGGCGGCCCGGCCGCCAGCGCGCCGCGGCCGGCGACCGCTGGGGCGCCGCCGCGGCCGCCGCGCGCCCCCGGCTGGCCGGCCGGCCCGCCCCTCCCACCTGTCGACGGACGGGCGCCATCAGCCGATGCAGCGGACGTCGGTCCGGGCCATTGACAAGTCTTCAGGTAGGCAGGCCTCACCCAGCTGATCAGTGAAGTCAGATGTCAACCCCACAGCGAGACGTTGGTAACAGTCGAAGCTACAACCTCCTACGGAAACAGCCTGTTAAGTTCTTTCGATTAGAGCTCCTTCGACCAGTAATGCCCATTTTAAGCCTTCTAGGCTGGTTGGCAAAAGAGACAGTCTGCTAGGTTGGTTGACTACCAGCGTAAATGGTACGGGCCGTTTCTCGTCAGCAGTTGGAGGCCTCCTCGGTGATTTAACCTATCTATTCCCAGTGGCCTCTGCCTAACCTGCAATCTTACACAACGCGGGGGTGCTTCCCCTGCCGTGTCCCTCAACGCCACCGACCCTTCACGCGCGCTCACCCATGCAGCCCATGTACTGCAGCATGTACATCTGCTTGCTCTTGCTGTAGTCCTCGGCCACCTTGACGTTGATAGGCTGTGAGGCACCCTCGGGCACGTGGCCGTTCAGCTCGCGGATGGCGTGCTGCGCTTCCTCGCGCCGGCTGAAGCGGACGAAGCCGACGCCGCGCGGCATCTGCGTGTACTTGTCCAGCAGCAGGCGACGCTGCACGATCTTCCCGAACGGCGAGAACAGCTCGTCTAGGAAGGACTCCTCGATGTTCCTGCGGCACCGGCGCGATCGCCAATGATCGAGAGTGGGTGTGCGAGTGGGAGGGGAGGCCAACGCCGACGAGAGACGCACAGCACCCGACTTCCAGACAACCCATTTGTCCTTATTCACTGAGCACTGATGACTGGAAGATAATGGGATACGCACAGCATCATCCGCCGACCGCGGCAAACATGTCATGCCAAATGTTTCAGCGGCTTCGCAGGGGCCCGTGACCACCACCAGTGCGCGCCCCTCACTGATCCCGGAGTACACCCTGTGATGCGTTCAGGCGACGGATGGGGACCGTGTGGAAGATGCAATTTGGAGGCAGGGCCACCCGCGCTCCTGAGGAGGGATCATGCATCTGACACCGGGAACCAAGCGCCAGATTTACGTGCACGCGGGAGGTTTCTAGGCTGGGACGGAGACGAGGCGAAGCTCGATTTCAAAGCGTATTTGGTGGTAGCACACCAGGGGGAGCCCAGTTCGGTAACACGTGAAAACGCGGAACCTAGGCAGGACGGTGAGCGGGTGCGCTAAAACCACAGCATCACTAACAAGGCTGCACAGTTTGCAACAGTGTAGGGGAAAAATGCATCCACAAAATGTGGGCGCGCAACAAAGCCTCCAATACAGGATGTTTCATTCGAAATGTAACATTTCAAAATTATGTGATAGTATAAATGAAACATCTACGAACGTAATTCATGAAATCGAATGTTTGAAAATTTTGACATTTTTGCTTGTATAGCCAGTGTTTGCCTGTGTGGCCATCTGCCTAGCAAAACGCCCCACGCCTGAACACAAAGGCACTTCTCCGAATGCCAGGAGCCACGACTGCCAGCGTCTTGTAAATGGCGTGTTCAGCCCCTAAATGCTGGGATGGAGGCCTGCAGACCACAGCTCTACTCGCAGACCACAATAGGTCTGCGAGTAGACCTATTGTGGTCTGCGAGTAGTCCACAGGTGTGTGAAAGACACTAATTTAAACGTCCGGCAATTTTCAACAACGCTCCTCGGATGACATGTGGTTGGCCAATTTTCAGTATCTTCACTTGCATATTAACCCTGACTCATCAAGTGAAACATCCTGCATGACGAACGGCCTCGTCCACCAGCCGACAGCGCCGGAGCCGCACCGCCGCTGCCGGGGCCAGCGCCCCCCCCCCCCCCCCCCCCACCGCACCTGGGCAGGTTCTGGATGTACAGGTTGGTGTCCTTGATGTCCTGACCGGGCGGCCTGGCGTACGACACCTTGATCCGTTTGTTTTGCACCCGCAGGCCATCCAGCAACGCGATGGCCTTGTCGGCGTCGTCAGGGTTGATGAACTCCACGAAGCCATAACCGAAGCTGTAGCCGGTCTGCAACACACGGCGCTAGTCGTCCACCGATGCGCGTGCGCTGGCGGGGTGACCGCCACGAACGCAAGTCATCAGCTGACACAGCTGCAAGAAGACCGCCGGGTCCACGGATTCCGCTGCCTCTCGTGTCACCACCCAGCGCTCCCAGCCGAGCTGCAGCGATTGCCGACAGAAGTCCTCAGAGTACAGACTAGAGCGAGCTCTTTAACGCAACGAATATGTCAGCCTCTTTGCTGACCCCATCCACACTAATGCTGTGAAATTCCGGGCTGGTATAAATCGTTCAGATCTGCAGGTAAAACAAGTCTAAATCAAGAGAATTCAATCGTTTAGTGCGTTACATTTTGTTGATTGGATACCTCAGAAAATATCATCTATTGCCTGCAATATCACCATGCAGTGCTATAAAAGACCAACAATCACTATTTCGAATCATGACCTTATCTTAAACAGGGATTGGTCCATAATCAATTTTCAGTGTATCAATTCCTTGGTTCATTTTACACATCTCAGCGTAAGAAATTTGCCCAATTAATATGTGAGAGACATCGATACAAAATGCGTATCTGATTACATGCATTTTTCCTCACACTTACTAGCCAGGAGCACTGCTTCATGGAATACCGGCAAGCACTAACAATCATAACACGCATGGAAGGGGCTGTCCAAAAATTACGTTACGGATTTTTGGTCATTTTCTTCCCTCGCTCTCCGCTTTAGCAACAACTATGCTAGACGAAACCTGCCTCTCCTTAGTTGGGAGACTCCGCTGAAGTTTTTGGGAGTTGGAGGTTCTCCCTACCTGCGTCAAGCATAAACAACAAAGTAGTTCTACTTGGCCCCCAACTGACACAGAGCTGAGAGGCCAATAACGGTCGTGTTCCTTGTCATAAATGAAACCCAATAGAACCCGGCTTTGAGGTTTTAATCAGATTAAAATAACAACTAGCATGGTTTGCAACAAAATTGGATGTGCTGTCACACTGCCTAAAAAAACTCCCTCCCTGCCTCGTTACGCAACTGTTACGGTCTATCAAACCTCCCATTCCATGCCTACGGTAATTTACGGACGGCCCCTAAAGATGGTCGCGCCATCAGGAAGACCATTATCGTCCACAAACATACTGTTTCAAAAGCTAGGAAAAGGGGATTCAGCGCAGTTGAGGCCAGCCGATGACTGCATAGAGGGAGGAGGAGACAAAACTGGAGACCTATGACCTAATAATGCTTTACCATTGTAATTTTCGACAAGTCAACTGAGGTTAGTTAATGCATATTGGTGTTGGTGTAAGACTATTTTTACAGCTACCCCAGATTTGGTGGACAAAAAGTTTCTGGCCGCTTGGAAGATTGGCCATATTCTTCGCTAGACAGTGCGGAAAATTTATTTGGGTTACCCACTAGGACTTTCAGTCCCAGTCCCTACGGATGGACTCAAAAGTTCGCATTACCTCGCGGAGAAGTCGCCAAGCTGCATAGTGGCCAAAAATTATGGCTCACCAAAGCTGGATTAGCCTAAAACTACCTCACACACACATGAACTGAGCTTACTAGCATAAAAAGGCATGCACATGTTAGGATGGGGCTGGTGGTCGAATTATCACTGGGTAATATGATGACTGTAAGTATTTGTGCCGCAAAGTCATGTTCCTCCAACGTCAGAAAACACCGCATTATGATAAATAACAATGTGATTAGATAATGCCAGGAGAAACTTAGCATAACAATGTCAATTTTGTACAATAAATGGAATGATGCTTAGAGTAACACAGAGGTGGTATGTATTTACATAACGTGTACTTGGCTACGAGCACATCCCACGGTTAACACGCGCCCGGGTGGCCGGTTAAACACCTTTCGCTCGAATGGCGTGGGGGTCAATTTGCCACCTCCCCCTTAAGATCTCCCGCAGAAACTAAGAGAGCTAAAGGCACCACATTCACACGGTGTGTTGGCCTGTATGTGAACCCACTTGTGCCAAAATTTGGTGTTCCTAGATCATGACGTTCGGGCCAAATAAGGTCAAACGAGGTAAAACTCCACCTTAGAGTTTTAAGTGCCCCAGAACCTCAAGACTTATTCTAAAAAAGATCGCTGGTACTCATTTAAGGTTAGTGACTATTTGGCCTTTCGGAGGTCGTGTTGTCAAAAATCATACAATACTGCTTGACGTTCTGCATCCCAATAAGCGTTAAAGATTACGCTAGGCAGTATGTTCTAACAAAGTTTTGACCCTGGTCATTTTAGGTCAATGACCTATCCTGACCGCTCAGAAGTCTATGGAAGATGTATAATGCGATTTTCGTCATCAATAAACTCGAAATGGGAACCAAAAACTAACCTACACAGCAAGCTGTAGAGTAATGAAACAGGTTAGTTTGACCTGGGTCTGACGTTCATACCTGACCCTAGGCCAATGAAATTTGTTAATTCTATCGTTATATTGCTAAAAAAAAACAGAAATGCATTGCTTCGTGTAATACTCCGTTGTTACATCAGATAGAACGTTTCCTCACAAAACATGTTTGCTAAATCCATGGACTAACTCTGACCTGCCGTAGCTCAGCGACCTCACAAGGTACATCTAAATTTTTGGTGCCGAACGATCCGCTATTTAACTGTCTATAACTACGCAAAATTTGGCGCGGATACGCCGCGCCGTTGGAAACCATTCTGGAAAACACTTGGGAGTGGTGGGTGGTGGTGGTCAAAATGACACCCCACCCGAGCGCGTGTTAATAGAAAACCATCGGTTCAGTGATGAACATACTTAACAATCGTTCCTTTTGTACTCATTCAAATCGACAACACCCACTGAAGTGTGAGCATATCTGGCTACCAAACATATGACCCAGTAGCAGACTATATTTTGTGGGACGATAAAACATGACCAGATAAACAGCGCCACGCCAGCACAGTTCATTCTCTGAACAGTCCAGCACTACAACACATCGACAAGCTCAAGCGCTAGCAGAGGTCAGTCAATGCATCTAGCGGATTTCAACAAATAGTGCATGAGTAACAGGAGTCTAGGAGCACCACTACAACAAAGTGATCATAGAACATTAACTACACTACATGACTGGCTTTACAATCACCCTGCTTCAAATAGCAGCCTAAAATGCCCAAATAGGAGCATTTTATCTTGATGCATTGTTTACCTGCATATTCCTCATAACTCTACACTGCTTGATGGCCCCCACTGAGGAAAACATTTGTGAGAACTCTTTATCTGTGAGGGCCTGTGGTAGGTAGTTGATAATAAGATTCTTGTTGTTGACTTCAGCCTCTTGTTTTATGTTGCCACCATTACTTCCATCATCCATCTTGACCGTACTTAAAAATAAGAAAATTACAAATAGAAAACTACAAAAATGGTGCAATAAATAACTAGTCAATGAAAAAAGCCTAGCAACATTAATCTCGAAACTAAAATCCACTGGGGACCGAAGCCAACTTATTGGACACAGTCTAGATGAAAAGCTTAAACTGTTTCCAAATGTCAAACATCACCAGTTTCTCTAAACACAGGACAGAACACGAGGGTGCCGCAGATCATGAGATCGACACGTGAAACTATGGACATAATGATACACAAGTATCTGTAATGAAACACATCAGATGCCATAGCCACAACACGTCATAACGAAGAAGCGCTTACCGGCATATGCTCCAAAATATTCAGAGATAGCATCAGTAAAGTTCATGTTTGGCAAGAACCTGACAGGACTAAATTTCCCACACCGTTACTGCCCACATGTTTGGCAGGCAATGGACTTAAAGGGTCTTCCACATTTGTAAATATTGAGACAACGTGAGATATGATAGAAAAAGCCCACTTGAAATCATCAGCATACTTCCAAGACCAAAAGACGGCTCCACACAACGAAATTTCGCTATGAAGTCAACACGGCCCTCAATTCGTCACCGGTTCTTTACGTCATAGAACGTTTTATGACGCCAGAGACGCCGCCAAATTAACCACATCAGACCCGTAATCGTGGCGGGCTGTATGACTCGCCTGCAGTGCCTTTAAGCGCCGCAAGGTGGCGGTGCTGGTTTATGCATGGAACTTTGTGTTATAAGAGCTATGCACGAGCATTTTCGCCTTTTCCCCTGTTTTTTAACATTTCTTCACGGTGGCATGCTTATTACTTTCATCTGCATATTCAGTTACAGTGATATTCTCCAGTTATTCTATCGACGAGCTGACGTCCATCAAAGCCAGTAGTCGTCCAAATGCCTGTGTTGTTTATCACAGAATACCGCTTGCGACTGGGACGTGCAAAATGCAGGTCAATGTGACTGTTAGCCAGTTACCTTCTATCATTGGAAACCTTACATTTCAGTAGTCATATTTGTCTTAACCATGACGAAAAAAGGCAGTGAGGTGGGACATTCACGCGATGTTTCTACGACATAATGCATCTCTTAGTGACTTCCAGATAGACGGTGTGAAATAGGATGCACCACTTCACATGTGCCATGCTCAGAAGCAAGAGGGTTTGAAACCTTAAAAACAGCATGGCTGGGACCGCGGAGAATAATCTTGAAAATGGCTCTCTTGGTAAACTGTCCCCCTAAACAAATGTGAGCCGGCCCCTTGACTGAAAACTTACCATCTTTGTTCAGAGTTCAGCAGACCAAACCTACTCACACTAAAGAGGATTTCAATATACGGAGGATTGTTTTATTTCTGATCATGTCACTAACTACCGCCGCAGGTGCATACTGCACAGCAGACACCTCTGAGCAGAATTACGCACCTTAATTGGAATATTCGCCATTCGAAGATATTGAGAAAAGCAATAGACATGATGAAAGAAACTCTCTTGCAATCATTGGTTTGCATCTAAGTGTAAAAGACTGCTCTGAACAACACAGCTTCACCATTCAGCAAATATGTTCCTTAACACGTCATCGTTTGGTTACGTCGTGGAACGTCTTCATGGCGTCAAAGTCGCTGCCAGGCTAGGGTGTCGGAATTGACACTGCAGCAGGCGGGTCGACTAAATTATAGTGCATCAACTTCCCGAAAGGTGGCATTGTTCGTTCGGGCGCGTTTGCTGAACCAAAAAATTGTTACGTGCGCCTTCTCGTGGTGTTGCGTATTTGTCCGTGATTTTATATTTTGAACTGGCATTCACATGTACATTTATAGCGCTATTCTTGAAGGGATGATTTCACATTTGTATCAGGCTGCGAGATGAACTAGCAATTTTGAATGTCATTCGGTGCCGTTCGCAGCCCCCCCCCCTTCTTAAACCCTAAAACCCTCTAGATTCTGAACCACCCTTCCGCGAAGATGTGCACTGTTTCGTGCAGACTACTTCAAGGCCACTCAGGCATGCGCGCTGCCATAGCAACGCCATTCAAATCCAGCCGTCCAACAGGCCAGGCGGCGTTCTTAGTCAGGAAGGTCATCACCGTCCAATAGTTCAGATCTGGCCTCCTCGGGCTTGATTTCCAAATGAAGTGGACGTCGATTGGCTCTCAAACAATACTGAGGAAGTCGTGCAACCATCAATTACGGATCACGTTTCGTGCTACATAGCTTACAAAATTCGACACTATTTCTTTACTGGCTATTTACTGCGTAAATACAACCTGTGATCGAACGACTTAACGCCGTGACCGAGTCTGTCAATACAAGTAGACATGCTCAACTCACGGATATATATATAGAAGAAAAAAATATATAGAAGAAATATATATATATATATATATATATATATATATATATATATCTGAGTTGAGCATGTCTACTTGTATTGACAGACTCGGTCACGGCGTTAAGTCGTTCGATCACAGGTTGTATTTACGCAGTAACTAGCCAGTAAAGAAATAATGTCCAATTTTGTATGCTATATATATATATATATGTAGAAGAAAAAATATACATATATATATATATATATATATATATATCTGTGAGTTGAGCATGTCTACTTGTATTGATAGACTTGATCATGGCGTTCGGTCGTTCGATCACAAGTTGTACTTACGCAGTAACTAGCCAGTAAAGAAATAATGTCCAATTTTGTATGCTATGTAGCACGAAACGTGCTTCGTAATTGATGCTTGCACGACTTCCTCAGTATTGTTTGAGAGCCAATCGACGTCCACTTCATTGGGAAATCAAGCCCGAGGATATATATATATATATATATATATATATATATATATATATATATATATATATATATATATATATGCAAGCACACCATGAGAAAGGTCCAAAACACGAACACCTTACACCATTTGGCTCAGCGAACACTTCCAGCACCGCAATGCCATCACTCAATGAGTTCGATGTACTATGAGTAAGTGTTAATTTTGCATGGCTAGTTGGCAGTACCTCAATGTCATGCAAATGTTCCATAAAGACCAGGACACAATCAATGACATATTGAGTACCATATTGACTAAAGAACAAACCTCACTGTCTAAAACAGTCTTTTATGCCTAAAATAAAGAAAAGTAGTAAAAGCAAACCAATAGGTGTAATTGCATGAATATCATAATATATGTTGCTTGCTTCAATATTTTCCAATGAGCAGGATTGCCTTAAAGCCATTTGATTCCCAGTCTTATTTCTGCCATAACTGGTAGCACTGTCAAGATTCCTACATGGCATATACAATTATTACACCAAGACTCCAGTGAATATATACAACCAATGATTTGTGCTTTAAAACTGCACCCAACACATTAGACCTGATGATGACCAGCTAGGGTCTGTTATTGCCAAAAGCATGCTCAGGTATGCCAGATGCACATAATTCAATAATCATATTTTCTTTGACCTTGAGCATTACATAGCTAATAACGTGAAAATGTTCATCTGATGTTTCTATGTGTGCCTTGCGTTCGCCTTGCGGTGCGTTGTTAAGCGTTTCTATACGTTTCTATGTGTCATGCGTGCCTGGGTGACATTGAAGTAGTCTGTATCAAATTGTCTCCACAAGTTTACAGGCATCAAGATCAGTAGCAAGATGGTGTTTGAGTCTTAAAAGACCATACCTGTGAACTGTGCTATATGCTTTTTTCAAAATGACTATCTCACTTCAAAACCCCATCGAAATATAGAATGCTCTATTTCACTGTTAGCAGAGGAGTGCTCTGAGCATTTCTAAATATCCCTGTGTATGTGTGTGCATAACTAAATGTATATCAATGTTCTGATAGCAATGCTCTGCTAATAATCTAATAAATGCTCTAATAATATTAATTTTCTGATTTTGTATTACTCATATGCTTTTCTTTTGCAAACCCAAATGGTCCACTTATCACTGATACATTTGTAATGATGTTGCATTCTTTTAATATATTTAAAGTACTTATTTGTTCATCAATCTATTACACTGTTCTCACCACATAATTGCTTGTTGCATAGCTTATAGTCTGCCCATTCCAGTTAAACTCACAGTGGCAGTAACAGCCACACACAAGGATCATTAACATTTTACATGTTGATATATTGTTAATATAATACACAATTTCTCCATATTGTGTAAGGCACAACTGCATGGCAATGGGCCAGACTGCACAAAATGCATACCATACAGAGCATGCCCAGCATAGGACATAGCAGCATGACAGACAACTTCAGCACACACATGTGGCCCATCCAAATATTTGGAGTAAAGCACACAATCAGCACAAATGCCAACAAGTGCTCAATGCTTCAAGGAATGTGATGTTTCAATGACGATTTCAAATAAAAATAATGCAACAATATTTTTCATGAAGCAATTTCATGAAAATTCCACACAAGTTGGCTTGACTGGAATACAGCACAAGCAAGGATAATGTTCAGCTCACTGGTATTGTTTAAGCACCCATCACAGTGGATGCCTTGTTTGTAAACTCAGATATTGGTGGATAACTCAAATTTATCCCACCTTTTGCTATACCTAACTATGCCTATACCAAAACGAACATTCAAGTGCAAAGACATGATGACCGGGCCAGCGACCGGCATCATTGGCCACATAACCTTAGAAGCCTGACTAATGATTTTATGAAGAGGTATCACAGGCATCATGGTGCATTCACGCCAGGTACGTTCAGCATGGTGCGGGCACGCTAATGAAATTACGTACACACCGGATACGTTCGGGGCAATGTGTCTTTGCACTTTCGAGGAGAGACACACGGGGGAGAAGTGATAACTGTTATCTACGACCATCTACACGACACCTTTCCTCAAGATACTCACCTTTAGCGTACTTACCCTACACAGAACATAGAACACACAACCCCTAACTGGATCCACACCGGCAATCTCCACCCGTAAACACAGCCCACACGCCCCTCCTCATAGAACCAGTATACTGTTGTTTTATTTCCTTACGCGTTCAAGGAATCGTTTGCGCATCCGTCTCTGGATTTGGCGGCTCAAAGCACTGCAATGCACTAGATAGTCAGCTACGATTGCAATCCTGCCTATGTAGTGCCCCTTGGCTAGGTTTGAGCACCTTGCCAGTGGTAAATGAATTGAATTTTCGAGCAATACACAACCAAGTTTTTTGGGCGTAAAATTAGCAATCTATCTTCATATTTTTTTCGTTCCAATTTGCCGACATTTATGTCCACACTTCAAGACAGCGTTTTTATTCCTTGATATTTTTAAGGCTCTGTATGACGATGGTACATGTTTTCGGTTGAAAATGCCTTAGATTAACTAATAGATCATATATCGTGTTTTACTGACCGACCAGTTTTCAACAAGTACCTGTAACCAAGCGGCATGGCTAAAAGGCACTTTAACAGCACTTTAACGTTTTTGTTTTTGCTAATTCAAGACGAACCTAGCGCATATAATGCATTATTCCGGCGCTTTATAGCGCCGTGCGAGGCTATCTAACGCCGTGGATGCTAGGAGGTGACCGAGGTGACCGCGTGCTGTCGTTGGCTTGCAACGGATCGTTAGTGTGGTCGCCGTGGTGCACTGCGGTTGTGGCACTGTTGTCACTGTCGATGTGTCACTTTGTCACTGGTGTACCGGAAGACTGCATGCAGTAAAAGAAGCTGACGAAAAGGACTATTTACGAGTCGTGGGTTTTCACAAACCATGGTGAATGCAAAGGGAGAATCCTCAAGTGAAGACAACTCAGGTAATGTATCGGTAAAATTCCTTCATGACGGCGTCTTGGGTCTGGATCAACAGTCATCTATTGACATTTGTGTCTGGTCCAAACTGGTTACCTAGTTTTGTTTTCTGAAAATATGAGTTTTAGCCACATGCCCTGTTTTGCGAGTACTTAAGTACCCAGGTGGGCTATCCATGCTTAAATACACCATACCAAGGGACTTGTTAATGTTCACCTGTTAACAAGAGAAAAGGATGTATGTATAAAAGAAGGTCTGTAAGCAGACCTATGCTGTACTGAAAATTCAATGCAGATAAAGTAGTAAACCCAGTAAACCTGATTAAATAAATAATGCTTCCATGTAAAACTAATTTTTGAATTCTTCATTATGTGTTGGATTGACCACCTGATCTCATTTATTTTAAATCAGTGGTATATTTTTCCTATATGACTCAATAGAAAAAGCATGTCAGCAGTAAGCAAAAAGAGAAGAAATAAGTAGAAAAATGCTGGCTGATCCTCTGAAGCTGTTCACCCCTGGCTGTGATATGACTATCTGGCCAATTTGTTAAGATGGGATCTGGACTTTCAACTTTGGCTGCTTGTCAACCTGAGTCTTTTTGCACTCAAATCCACGGTGATTTGAATTGTAACATCATTGGTGAAACACTGATGATGAAAATTGAAGCATTGGTGAGAGCCACTGATGCCCTTTTTACTATGTGCTTAAATGGAACATTTTGTTTGCATTGCACTAAAATCTGGTTTCTGCCGAGCTAAGCCACACAGTGCCTGATTTGTTGTGAGTGCAATGAAAATCTTTTGCATTGTTGATATAAGTTGATGATAGCAAACAGGATACTGGGTCCTCTCATGCAAAGTGTGCAAGTGCTGTTGTGGCCTCATCAAGTGTGGTTCAATCACAAGGCTTTGCTTTGAACCTTCAATGCTCATGTGAGATCATTGATAGAGTAGGGTAGTGTTATTTGGAGTGGTGCTGCCAGTTCTGTTTCTGTTTGTCATTTCCACTGGATCCTGGGCATCCTCTCACTTTCTTCAAAACAGCATCTATCAAGGCATGCTTTGTTCAGTCTGACATCTTATTTCTATATAACTTGTTTGTGTGTGTTTGTATGTGTGTCATACATTATTGTTTTCCTAAAACTGGACTACTTCTGTAATTGGGCTTTTGCCTGTAGAATGCCTATGTCCTAAATAAACAACTAAACTAATAGTGCATTTATATTACTTACTCTTAGATCCAGTAATGCTGCTTTAATACCATCAGCTATCATTTTATTGTTAATTTGTGCAATGAATTCATGGTTTATGCCATAATAGCTTTCATGCTAAGCCTCTTTTGTTTTAACATCTGCCCTGTTCATGTTGACAGGGTCTGAGAGTGATGCCAACTCCAGCAGTCAGTCTGGATCACCTGCACCCTCTGGCTCATCACAGCACAGAAGAAGCAAGTCAGGATCAGCAAGTCCTGCAGCAGGGCACAAGTCAGAAAGTGATAGACCTGCAAGTCCTTCAGAAAGTGAGAGGTCAGGCAGTGCTCCGGGAAGTCCTGTAGGAAGTGAAAAATCAGGTAGCCAGCAAGGAAGCCAAGGGTCTGGAAGTCCTGCTGGCAGTGGAAATTCTGGAAGCCCAGCTCATAGTCCAGGAAGCCATCAGGGTCGTGCCAGATCTGGCAGCCATGCAGGGAGTGGTAGATCTGGCAGCCCTGAAGAAGTGCCAGATCAGACAGCCCTGCTGGCAGTGACAGATCTGGCAGCCCTGCAGGAAGTGTCAGATCTGGCAGTCCTGCAGGAAGTGCTAGATCTGGCAGTCCAGCAGGAAGTGCTGGATCAAGAAGCCCTGCAGGAAGTCCAAGATCTGGAAGCCCTGCAGGTAGTGCTAGATCTGGCAGTCCTGCAGGCAGTGCCAGATCAGGAAGCCCAGCTGGGAGTGCCAGGTCTGCCAGCCGTGCCGGAAGTGCTAGATCTGGTAGCCCTGCAGGAAGTGCGGGCTCTGGCAGTCCTGCGGGAAGCGCCAGATCAGGCAGTCCTGCTGGAAGTGCCAGGTCAGGCAGTCCTGCTGGAAGTGCCAGGTCAGGCAGCCCTGCGGGAAGCGCCAGGTCAGGCAGTCCCGCTGGGAGCGACAGATCCGGGAGTCCTGCGGGAAGTGCCCGGTCCAGGAGCTCGGTGAAAAGCGGAAAATCTGGGAGTCAAGCACGAAGTGTAAGGTCGGGAAGCAGACCTGCTGACGGCGGTGAGTGACCGGGGACGGCCCAGATGAAATGCTAATGTTGTGGCAGAACCAGGTGAACTCTGCCGTCCTGTGGGCTCAACGGTAGCACTCGTCTGGCATTAGCCAGCATTTTGATCACCGTCTGTGAGATGTGTATGCCATTGCGTCCCATCCCACTAAGCGTGTGCGGTCTCAGTCGCGCATGCTTAGTAGGATTGCGCGAATGCTGGCCGCTTCACGCCCGCCCGGTGTCCGCGCGTGTCTTGCCAGGGGTGTCAGCCGGCGCTGACCAGACCCTGCGCCCGGCAGACTCGCCCAAGTCGGAAGGGGGCGGCGCGAGCCCGCAGCGCCACAGCGGTGATAGCCGCTCTCGCTCCGGGTCGCGGTCGCCGCAGCGGTCGCCGACGAGGAGCGAGCCTCGGGTAGGTCAGGGCGCTCCGCTGGAGGCGCTCGCCGGTCGGACAGGCCCCGGTGGCGGCGCTGAGCGCTGTGGTGTGCTATCCGCATGCTGTGCCGTACAGCTGGCTCCCGTGAGCACGCGGGGAAGGCTCGCACGGTCCATTAGGCAGGCCGGATAATTCAGCAGCCTCACGTCAAAGTACCAAAATTATTTTTTGCGTTTTTGAGGTCACATAGATCAGACAGTAGTATTAGCCCTATTCCTCGGAGAAAATCAGAAGAATGGAGACATAGTTGGTTTGATCTTTCAGCAACATACCTTTATGGAAACAATAGCAGAAGATATAGCTTCCACTTTTATTTCTTTGTCCTGGTTTTCCTGGTTTTTGTTTCCATTCTCCTGGTTTCTTTCCGAGAAATAAGGCTATTACTGCTCCCTGATCTACGTGAATAACGTTCCTCGCTAGCGCACTGAACAACTTACGTAGCTTTTTAGGTCAATGCCAGCTGTTTGTCACAAACAGAAAGATAAGCTCATTCACTGGGAGCGTAGTTGCTGAGGTATGCTGATGATTCACTGCTGGTCGCCAATGGTCACTCTGATGTGTAATACTGACGACGCTGACAACCGCTCATACCATTCCATTTTGGCTGATTACTTCCTTCCGCATTCCACATCCCTGTCATTCCTCTTCGCTGGTGCCCGAATGGCCGCAGTGCATGTGGAAGTGTGCATCTGTCCGCTGGCATTGGCCTGCGGCAGAGGACGCGTCCGCTCTCGGGTTCTGCGGCCTGAGCAGGCGGTGCCGACTGGACCTGACGCTGCGCCTCTGTTTCTCGGCAGTGCACTCGGACAGCGAACGCTCTGATGGCGGCTCGGAGGCTGCCGCCGCCAGGTACGGCACGGTACCCCCCGGTCCACCTCCCGTATTCCGCCAGTGGACATTGGCGAGTTCAGAAACCAGCAGAGAATCGAGTCGCGATGTCCCTTGATTCTGCGGAGCTGAGCAAGTGTATCCGTGATTGTGGCTTCATAGCATGATTGAGACGAGCTGTTCGTATTATACACGGTTATGTTGTCTCTTGTTCATCATCATCAAATGAAGCCAATGAATTTTCTGTTGTCAGCAAAAGAAAGCAAGGAGCTCATAGCGACTCAGACTCAGTGGGAAGTGATCGAGGAAAAAAAGAAACCCAAAACTGCTGATAGTGATGGAGATGAAACGATGAAAGGTATTGCATACGTGGACAGCATTATAGCTCTGCCCACATACCGTTCAACACGGGTACAACGATGGAACGAGTCTCCTGTGTACAGACTGTTCACATGCTGCAGTAACGCCATTTGCACACCTCCCACGTCAACAAGCGTGTGTCTCCGGTGCCGTGTGGCGGTCGGCCCACAGCGGCGGCGCTGACCCTGCCGTCTGTGGTCAGAGGTGGGCGCATCGACTTGTTCGGGACGCCTCCGACATCAGCGAGGACGAGGCTGCGCCCGGCGCCGCCGAGCAGCCGGCCGTCCCAGCGACGATCAGGACGACGTGCGGCGCGGCAGCGACTATGAAGACGAGGAGCGGCAGACCGCCGTCATACAGGTCAGACGGCTCCGGACGGTGGTCGTGGACGTGGTGACGGCATGCAGGTCGGGGTGGTGACGTCATACATGGAGAAGGGCAGTGACGTGTAGATCAGGGTAGTGACGTCCGGCAGGTCAGTGTGGCGACGCCATATAGGTCGGCGCAGGACGTCATGTAGGTCGGCGTAATGACGCCATGCGGGGAGGGAGTCGCGTGCTGCAGATCAGGGCCCGCTGCGGTGAGGTTGGGTGAAGGGGGGGGGGGGGGGAAGGTCTGGTGCGGTATATATATCATGCAGTGATGAGCGGTTTTTGTGACCGTGACCTGCCGTGACCGCGACTCCGGGGTGGAGCCTTGACCTGCCGTGACCGTGACTCCGGGGGTGGGGGCATGACCTGCCGTGACCGTGACTCCGGGATGGAGGCATGACCCGCTGTGGCCGTGACTCCTGGCTAAAAACGTGACCTGCCGTGGCCGTGACCCTCCGTAACCGTGTCGGCCAGGACGACGACGAGGAGGAGGCAGAGCGAGAAGCCGGCTGCTCCCGAGGAGAAGGCCGCCGCCAGAGACGCGCATCGAGGTCGACGTGCCCAAGATCTCCACTGACCTCGGCAAGGTAGCTGCGGGTTGCGAGGTCTGCCGTGACTTCCGTTGGCGTCGGTCGAGATGCCAGCAGTGTGACGTGTTCGTGACGAACGCTCGCGCTGGAAGTCAAGCCGGTCGCGTTGGGATGGGAATGTACGGGCGTGCACCCGATGGCCAGTGGTCCGACAGCTTTGTTGAACTGCTCTACCTGTCAATTGTGCTGATGTCTCCTTCGGTTACGCCGTGCCGTCCGCTCAGTTTTTGGTGCAGTGCCTGACGTCCGCCTCCTTGTTTGCTATGCTCACGGCCATCCATCGGAACTCGAATCGGTGGCAGCATCACAGCTGACGTGCGTCCGCACCACAGGAGCTGAACTTCGTTAAGCTGCCCAACTTCCTGTCGGTGGAGACGCGGCCGTTCGATCCGCAGACGCACGAGGACGAGATTGACGAGGAAGAGACGCTGGACGAAGAGGGCCGCGCCAGGTGAGTGGCAGCGCACGGCCAAGGGAGCATGGAGTAGGGACGAATGGGAGAGCAGTCCATGGTGGGGTTGCAGCGGGTCGGACAGTACGCGGGAGGGAGGGGGGGGGGGGGGGCGGGGCGACGCACTCTGCTGCTGTTTAGCACGTGCTGGGAGGGTGGCTGCTTGGACATGCAAGGAGGGGAAACCAGCTGGGTTGTACATTGAAAGACCTGAGTGAGATGAGTTCACGGGGGGGGGGGGGGGGACGAAGCGCGGGTTAAAGTTCTGTGTGTGGGGGCTCTGAGAGGACGGAACATTGACCGCGCCCTTTGCTGAAGGGGAGGGGGGAATGTGGAAGGAACGCCGCATCGAGTTTGTGACCCACCCGGTTCCCGCTCGCGCCGCGCGCTGCCGGGCGTCTGTGCATGGTAAGGAGAGGGCAGTGGTGTGTACTGCAGTGACCGGAGCATGGTATTCGGTCACGGAGGCAAGGAACATCTCTCTGCAGCACCCTTTGTCCGCAGATGCACAGACTAGCGAGCGGCTTCCTTTGACACAGAATTATCTCGTGCAGCACCGAGCTTGAGGACTTGAGGAGAACGAGCTTGAGAACAAAGTTGGATGCGTCCGGGTTGGTGATTGAGAGCAGGACAGCGCTGCGCCGAGCCCACCTCCCCTCCCACCGTCTGCGTCCCGCGAATGTCCCCTGGCAGAGCGGTGAAGCTCTGTCCGTTGGCAGGCTGAAGCTGAAGGTGGAGAACACCATGCGCTGGCGCACCGTGTTCGACAACGAGGGCAACGACCTGAAGGAGAGCAACGCCAAGATGGTGCGCTGGTCCGACGGCAGCATGTCGCTCTACCTCGGATCGGAGATCTTCGACGTGTACAAGCAGCCGCTGCAGGTGAGAGCCGTCTCCTGGAGCCGGGCGGGCCGCTTCAGCGGGTGGCTGCTTCTTGCTGTCCTCCTTGCCGTTACAAGCTTGCAGTACCGCGAGTGACGTCAGGGCCGTTTTCCACGGCCAGCTTGCAGGAGGTTGGACTCTGTCGTTGGATGATCAGAACGGTATAGTTTGCTCCCCGTTGGCTCTGTGCGACTACTGACGTGCTCGATGGCGGCAGAGTAAACCGTGGCGTCCTGTTTCGCATGGATGGGACGGGGTGACAGTGACGACGCCTGTGTTCGTTGTCGAGCCGATCCATTGTTCCCGTTTGTTTTGGTAGTCACAGCCACGGTTGGTATCGCTGCATGACGTTATGTTTCCACTTAGTCCATGCGCCCGCACACCCTGTCGAAAGTCACCCGTCCTATCGTTTCGTCACTGGCTGTTGTGCACAGGACGATGTCCGTGGTTGTGACGGACATGCTGACGTCAGAGGTGTGTGTCACCTGCTCCGTGGGAGGCAGTGTACATTACAGACAGGCCAGCTCCAGCTCCAGCTCCAGCTCCAGCTCCAGCTCCAGGTCCAGCTCCAGCTCCAGCTCCAGCTCCAGCTCCGGCTTCAGCTTCAGCCGCACCGGGTCCGCGCCCACCGCCTCTGACGCCCGCCTCGCCCCTCCCGCAGGGCGACCACAACCACCTGTTCATCCGCCAGGGCACCGGCCTGCAGGGCCAGGCCGTGTTCCGCACGAAGCTGTCGTTCCGGCCGCACTCGACCGATTCGTTCACGCACCGCAAGATGACTCGCTCCATCGCCGACCGCTCGCACAAGACGCCCGGCGTCAAGGTGCTCACCAGCGTCGGCCAGAACCCCGAGATGAACCGCTCGCAGATGATCAAGGTGAGAGTCTGACGACGGACGACCTCCGCGCGCTGCTGGACCGGCGGCGGCGGCGGCAGGCGCTGGGCTGGGCGACGCTGGGTGGGGTGGCTCGGGGGTGAAGTATGTGGTGTTGTTGGGTGTCGTTGTCATTCTTTCGTATGGTGTCTCAGTCCCAGCTTGATGCTCGCTGGGCGTTCATGACAGGACGTACGCGCTCGGGACGGGTGTAATGACTGTAGTCGGTTAGGATAACGCCCTTGCCTTCGTTTCGGCGCCGAATTGCCCGTAAAGACTGGCCCATCTGGCCATCGTGTCCTGTGTTCTTTTGGGTGCATGTGAACTTATACCTCCACTTTCTGAGTGTGACCAATCAACGTATCACAGTTAAGTGTGGTGCCAGGCAGAGGGTGACGCGTGCTTCCCGGCACACCGGGGCTGGACGTGCCGCGTCATGAGCGCCGTCAGCGCCGTACATGCCTGTGCGTGACGTCCTTGCTGGCGCGTTCAACCATCTCGATCGTGTGGTTTGCGCTTGTGTATTCTTATTTACGATTGGTGACATCAGCGTGTGTTCAGCGTGCCCGACACGTGCGCCTGTCCCCGACATCGCCTCCGACACGTGTGCCTGTCCCCGACATCGCCTCCGACACGTGCGCCTGTCCCCGACATCGCCTCCAATACGCCTGTGCTGTCCCCTATATCGCCTCCGACACGTGCGCCTGTCCCCTACATCGCCTCCGACACGCCTGTGCTGTCCGCCCGTGTCCGCCGTCAGCCGCCCTGTCCGCCCGTGTCCGCCGTCAGCCGCCCGCCCTTTCCGCCCCTGTCCGCCGTCAGCCGCCCGCCCTGTCCGCCCCTGTCCGCCGTCAGCCGCCCGCCCTGTCCGCCCCTGTCCGCCGTCAGCCGCCCCCCTGTCCGCCCCTGTCCGCCGTCAGCCGCCCTGTCCGCCCCTGTCCGCCGGCGCGTGACGTGTCCGCCTGTGCCGCCAGCAAGAGGAGATCCGCTTGCGGGCGTCGGTGCGGCGGGACGCGCAGCGGCGCCGCGTCAAGGAGCGCTCCTCGCGTGGCCTCACCGCCAGCTACCTGGAGCCGGACGGCGAGGGCGCCGACTCTGGCGACGAGACCTCCATCCTGGCCATCAAAAAGAAGGCCAAAGGTCCGTGTTGCCGACTGCTCAGTTGCTTTGTGTTGTGCACTGAGCGTTGGAGATTGAGGTTTTATTTCGTGTGGTCGGCGTCATTGCACTGAATGCCCGATGTGTGTACTTTAGTTTGCTGGCAGTTGTGTGAATAGTTTCATTAAACGGACATTGCTGCTCGCCCTGTTTTTATTGGCGTGGGAGCTGTCGGTATTGGTATCTGACCTATCAATGGCTTGTGTATTTATGCGGTGTCGAGGTAGTTGCGTTTGTGCCATATCCCCGTGATCACTTTAGCAGCACGCGAACCGCGCGCGGGCGCGTGCGATCGTGGCCTGGAAGTGACTTTGTGCGCATGCCCGACAGAGGCTCTCCGCGCGCCCATCTACTCCTCGGACGAGGACGGCTCCGACATCGAGACAAGTCGCGCGCGCAAGCTGGAGCGCGCCAAAAAGGCCATCGAAGAGAGCGACGAGGAGGGCGGCGCGGCGGCCGCCAAGTCGGGCGGCTCCGGCTCCGGCTCCGGGTCTGGCTCGGGCTCCGGGTCCGGCTCCGGCTCTGGGTCTGGCTCGGGCTCGGGGTCGGGCTCGGGATCAGGCAGCGGCAGTGACAGTGATTGAGTGAGTGTCCGTTCCCGGGCATGATAGCATCACGTGACGCCACGCTTGCTGGGGCGCTGGCGAGAACGCAGCTGGGACATGCGCAGCGGACCAGAGATCCGAAGTGATGCGCGTGTGACGATGTCGGGTGCGACTTGAAAAGCAACAAAGAGTGGCGTCGGAGAGATGAGAAAGTGAAGCCAGCGCGTGGATCACCCTGGCCAAGCAGCGCCGCTCCCGGCGAAGCCACTGGGTGTCCTTTCCTGGTTATACGTGGCTGACTTATTTGCCCACTGCAGTCCTCCACTTCGTCGTGTACATCGTCGGATACGCCGAAACAAAAATAACGGGAGCTTTTGTGCCCCACGATGGTGTGTCAGTCATTGGCATTGTGCTCATAATTTGCAGGTTGAGAACATGCGAAGCGCGCGTAGTGAGCGAAGTGTAGTGAGTGATGGAGAATAAGCCTTCATTTCACCCATTTTGTTGCCGACTCTTTGCCTTCACGCGCGGGATCGCCGTGCTGGCACGGTCGCTGTGACCGTGTGCTGTACTGTTGCGTACCAGGCTCCTGTTTTCGCCTGCGCACGAGACGATCGGTTCGCCTCCCCATCGGCGTACGCGGCCGTCCGGGGTAGTGGTGGAGCCCTGATGTCTTTTGTGCGAGGTCGCCGGACAGCGGGGCGGAGATGCTAGCCGTTGCTGCCGAAGCCAGGCATTAGCTGCATCAGTCGAAGCTGAAAATCTGTTATCATTAAATCCTAGCAATGTCAGACATACACTTTGGAGGCTTGTGTTCAATAGTTGCACGACGTTTACTTGTGACCGTGAGCGCTGCCTTGAACGTGGAGCCCACTTATAGCGTATCTCAAGGCTGCTTGGTATCATTGGACCAGTACCTTCTGATTCACTTAAAGGGAATGTTTCACATTTAAAAATATTGGTGAAAGCATCATATATGATGAAACAAGCTAACTTATGACTATCGGTAAACTTTAATGGAAAGGACTGCTCAAGACAACACAAGTTCTCTGGCACGTATGTTCCTCGCTACGTCATTGGTGGATTGCAGCACCGGATGTTAACGACATAACCATTATGTTTTTCTTGGCCTTGATCACTGCATTACTTGCGGAACCACAGGCTTTGAATGACGTTATTATGACGTCGAGAATGCCAATGTGACCTTGAAATACTCTCCCACACCTTTGATGCCTCTAAGGTCAGGAACCATTGGGTTTTAAGTCTTAAAAAGGGCATGGCCGTGAGCTGCTCTGAAGTCTTCGATACGGCCATTTCAGTTCAAAACTCCATACCAATATGGAATACTCCTTTTAAGTCCGTTATTTTCAGCATAAGAAAGAATTCTGCCCGGTTCTCACATCCTGAGAGCATGTTTGTGCAGGGAAGACATCAGTCCACCATTCTGACTAACGTAACTGAGATTACGTCACGTCTGAAACATGTGACGCACTCTCCACAAAATTGGGTTTCCCGGGATGGGCTTCGTCGCCGGTCGCTCCGACAAATTCGGATTCCAGCCATTGGAACGTAATCGGGCATTTTGACTGCTCACATTGACGCACAGGTGAAAAATATTAAGTGCCGTCCAACCCAATGACTTCAGTGTTTCACCCGCGAATAATGTTGTACATGTTTTAGCCACCCCGTAGCAGATCCCAAACACGGCAAACTGCGGAGCATGCCCCACTAGAAACACTGACTCTGGTGGCTTTATGACGTTTAGTCGGCGTTAAACATTGTTAGAAAAATACAAAGCTTATACACAGTGACGACGAACCTCGTACACAGTCTCTTTTTGATGTGCATGACCAGACGTGAGGTCACTAACTGGAGTTCAACGACTTCGCGGCTTGGGCAGCTATACATACTTGGACAAGATGACCATTGGTCCCAGGCACATTTGGCACATTCCTAATGCAATCACCCCGCAGCGAATCCAGACAGATCCAGTACACACCAAAAAAGTGTCTCTGTGCATGTAAAAAACGACCTTTCACTTCCCGGCTATCAAAACGACGAAGTAGCTAAATGATACACGGCCTGACGACATTATCTTATGAAAGATGTAAACCGGACCCAAGTCGGTGGACACCCGCGCACAGGATAACTACTGGCTCTGGAAAACCGACAGCGAAGCCGGGCCATCAGAGCCCAACGGAGACGTGACCATCAGGCTACATCTGGTTACCTGCCGCGGCACACACAGCCAGTCTGAGACTCCTGAAGGCACTGGTCGCGCTGCGTGGCCGACCCAGCATGGGCGTCAAAGTAATGCGACGTTATCGGGTCACAGTGACGTCACAGCACCGTTGCATTACTCCGCCAACACCACGTCATCCCGACAGCGTGACGTCACCCCGCTGGGCGCCGTTCGCCGCCTCCAGCGACTGACGGCTGGGCTTCACGTTCTTCGTGAACATGTAGACGCCGACGCGCACGCCGGCGAACATCGGCTTGTGGATGTAGTTGAGGATCTGGAAGCCGCGGTTGTAAAACATACTTTGGCGGCGTCGTTGCACTCCGTCGTCTGCAGGCGCACGTTGGACAGGCCGGCGTCGCCGCAGAACCGACAGGCCACGTCCAGCATCTTGGTGCCAATGCCGTGGCCGCGATGCGACTTCGCCACCGACATGCGCTGCAGCCACGCGCCCTGTGGGTCGTCGCGATTCTTACGCACGCCGCACGTGCCGACGACGACGCGGCGCAGCCCTTTGAGGTCCGTCTGGTACTTCTCCACGTCCTGCGGCGACACGAACGTCAGCTGGAAGCGCGCCGCCGGCCCGGTGATGGGCTCGTACAGCTCCGCCACCCAGAAGTTGGTGCGCTTCAACGACTGGTACGTGTCGGGGATGTTGCTGACGTCGCTCTGCGAGGCGATGACCTTGATCTGGTGCGCCGCCCAGATGGCCGCCAGCACGAACGCGAAGAAGGCGGGCACGGTCATCAGGCAGAGGTCGCCCGGCACGCCGAACACCACGAACAGCACCGCCTGCGCGGCGATCAGCAGCTCCCAGAACGTCTCGCGGAAGAGCGCCGCCGTGAAGAAGGACCACACCGTACTGAGCGCCGCATCCGACACGAGCGTCTTCACAGCCAGCGCATCGCGCGGCTCGAACGGTCGGACGCAGCACAGGTAGTTGGGCAGAGGAGCAGTGGTCTCGGCCATTGCAGCTGGCGGGGTGGCTGGTCAGAAGCAGAACCTGTAAATGGCTTTGGCTTTATGAGTTGTTTGAGTTGTGAGGCTCTAAAACAAATCATGCATGCATGTCAGGTGATCTGTTTCATGCAAATTCCCCCTGATGAGTATTGGTGCCAAGCTTACCAGTTGCCATAGCTTGTGGTACAGTATTTAGTATTAGTATTACTTATTATTATTTTATTATTACTTATTATTAACAGTATTATTTTATTAGTATTATTCACTTCTTATTACTTATCATTATTTATCATTATTTATTACTTTATAGTGTTACTATATTATTATTAGTATTACTTCTCAGCATGGCCTTCTAGCTCTTTACAGTAATATTTGGATGCAGAAGTGTCCTAAGCCCCTTGCCCCCACAAAATTGGCCTCTCAAATAATCATACAGTAGCTTAAGGACATGTTTCATCATCCCTGAAGGCATTTAAGCAAGCATCAGGTGTAATAAGATAACCTCACTTATATCTGTTGGTATACTTCTACATGATGAAGACTGCTTTCAACAAAACAATTTCTCTGTTCAGTAAATAAGCTCCTCAATGCCTTATTGCTGGATTATGTCATCACACTAGGCACCACATTGGCTGAGAGCCAATTAATGACCAATTTGTCTGGAAATCATGCTCACAAACATGAACAGCTCATTCAACAACCATATTTTCTTGGTCTTGATTGTGGCACAACTAATGGAATGGCCAGATCTTAATGATACTACTAGGGCATCATGGATACCTGGATGACCTTGAAATGGTACTCACAAAATAGTCTGCACATCTTTAAGGCATGTAGCTCAGAAACTAGAGCAGTGTAGGTCTTAAGAAGAGCAGGACTGTATGCCATACTGAATGATCTTCAAGATGGCTATTTCAGTCAGAACCCCAGTACAAATATCAACCACTCCCTTCAAGATATTGTGACTCTAGGACAAACACACAGCTCATCAACCACAAAGTCTCAAAATATTGTGCCCAATCAATTAAGGCCTTCAGGAAAAACTAAAAAAAGATGAACCTTTCCATGTGTGACAACCAGAATACCCCAGAATAATAATATACCCGAAACCCAGAATAAATATAGAATAACATTTAGTAGACAGTCTGGTTTGCTCAAAAGGAGCAAAACAGGGAAATAATGATTGCTGCATATGGATTCTAGGACACTCTTTAAGCTCAAGATCCTGTTTTGATGCCTAAGAGGACCATTATTTAGTCTTAGGAGCACAGAGACACTCTAAATTGCTAACAAGCACTCAGTATTTCAGTTCTGGGGAAATTTCTACCACATCAAAGGGAAGGGGGGGGGTGGCCCTTAACAGACTCATTGGCCCTGCCATTGCTGGCAGCAAATAACATGACAGGTCATTTCCATAGGGATCAAAGCCATTAATGCATCACAATCAATGACATGCCCTACATCAACACAGTGATCTGTGAAATACAATTAACAAAATGCCAATTTATTTATGCATAACAAAAAGTGGTAGGGACAGTGCAAGAGTGAAATATCCTTAAGTTTATATTATTCACAACCAGCCCTTGACATTTGCCGCCACAATATTTTTCTAACGATACAAAATACCTAAACAACAGTATGAAAACGGGCCTCACCTTTCAAAGCGTGAACGATTCACGCAATTGGATCACCAAGATTAAAGCGCGTGAACGCCCCAACCTTCAGCACCACCACCACCACTCCAGACTACCACAAAGAACCCGCCCTGAACAGCTCGTAACGGACGCCAGACGTCACGTCACAGAAGCGCGTCATTGAGCTAAGCTACGTGCTACCATATAATCGTTTTCCCCATGAGCACGTTCGACCGAGGGAAAAATACTCAACGACTTAACACGTCCGTCAAGTTGGCAACTGAATGTGAATGTAAATCTGAATGTGAATATAAATCTGAATGTGAATGTGGTGCCAACTTGACGGACGTAATCTGAATATGAATGTGGTGCCAACTTGACGGACGTTTGGGACGTGTTGGGTTTCCCTCCATAAAGAGCCATATGGAAGGGATATGGCAGCGTGCTGTTTTTGATATCTATTGTGACGCAGAGCATTCATTTTCTGCGGTGCGCATCCATCGTGAGGTGGCGGTGCTCCGTGTCCGCAGTGGCGTTCTGTGCAAGTGTATTGTGTGTCAATTGCGCCTGCCACAGGTAAGGTATCTATGCTGTTGGATTTTTTGCGGTTCGGTGTGTGAGATTCTTTACTGACAGCCACAGCCATGAGAAGGCTGCACATTTGTATTGGCCTAGAAATTTTGAACTTGGGGTCTCACGGCCAACACTGATGGTTTTGTTAACCGCACCTTACCTTACCTTACCCTACCTTATGGTGATAGAGAATTATAGAAGTTCACTAACCCTGTCGGTCCCGGTCTTGTCGGGTCCCTGGTCTGGTGACCAAACAGTCTCAAGTTATGGATAGAGTTTGTGTGTATTGTGGGATGTCATGCATGATGCCAGCCCAGTGCATATGGGGCCTGGACTTGAACTGTTCAACTGAGGTTGATGATATGACTGGGTGTAGAAGGATGTTCTAACTGTTGATGACCCAGTGCTAAATGAGTGATGACTGATGAGAGTTTGAGGTTTTCTTAGACCCATTGGTGGTCTCTTGTCACCTCTGAATTGTGTCTTGTCAGGAACTCCACTTCTGACAACATACATCTGTGACACAACTGATACACTGTCACCATGTCTCCCCTGCATTGATGGTAGCACAGGGAGGAGGAGGAAGAGTCAGGCCTCTTGGGGTATGGCTGGTGCCTCACTTCATTGACAAGACCCCTGAGTTATTGCTGAACCTGCTCCAACAGCTCCTGGTCAAATCTGCCCAATGGTTGAATCTGCCAAAGGGGCCTCAGATGACATTGCCATACTTTAAGCATGAGCATACTAAGACCTTGAAGAGCAGTGGCAGCATGTGAACATTGATGTTGGCAAACGACTGTCTCACGACCACCAGCATTTGTTTGGCTTTTGAGATCACTTCAGCTGTCTGCATGTGAAATAAGGGTCTATGATGATCCATGATATGATGATAATATGATAATATGATGATGATATGATAATATGATAAATATGATAATATGACAATGATATGATGGTCTATGTTGATCTATGATCCACGAAGATCCTGAGTTCCTCTTCGGTTAGCCCAATGTGATTTCTCTCCTGTTGAAGAAGCACACCAGTCTCAGGTTGCAGTTCCAGATATGCATTAGTTTGCACTTGGTTGCATTAAAGGGGAGCAGCCACTCCTTAGACCACTCGGCCAGGGTGTGGAGGCCGACCTGCAGAGGTGATTCAGTCGGGGACCTGGGGACACAAGAGTAGATCTTGGTGTCGTCCGTGGACATCTTGACCATGCTTCACACTTGATCTAGTAGGTTGTTTGTGAAGGTTATGAATAGTGGTGGTCCTAGCACTGATCCTTGTAGGATGCTGCAAACAGTGTCGATCTAATCCAACCTCAAGATCTGGAGCTGCACTCTGCATCCGGTGGGTAAGGAAATCCCTGATCCAGCCCGGCAAGGCACTTCTCATACCACAAGCATGGATTTAGGAGAGCAGACGGTTATGAGGCACAGAATCAAAGGCTTTGCTGAAGTCTGGGTATGGCATGTTCACCGCCTCTCCAAGCTCTACTGGGGCACTCCAATCTGTCATAAGGTTTGATGGCTGGGTGATACAGGATCGTTTTGAGAGAACCCACGCTGGGCTGCTTGAAGAACACCAGGGTCCGAAAAGTGATGAACTAACACACCTCTCACAAAAGATTTGAGTGTCTTGGAGGGAATGGCAGTAAGACTTACTGGGTGGTAGCTCACTGGGGACTGTCAGTTACCTTTCTTGAAGACTGGGACTACCTCACCAAGCTCCCACTCCTGGGCAAACCTTCTGAATGCCAATTATTTTAGGAAAAAACATGTTTAGGGGTAGTGCCAGGATGTCTGCAGACTCACAAAGTGGCCTTTGGTGCACATCGTCTGGCCCAGGGGTGCTCAAGGTCTTGAGAAGAGTCAATTTCTTTGCCACTGCCTGGGCAGAGATGTTCATGTCATCCAGGAATGGTTCATTGAAGTTGCAAGAGATAACAGGCAGGGCACTAGCTGATTCATTTATGAAAAAGCTGGCGAAAAATTTACTGAGCACATTGGCCTTTGTTTCATTGCTAAATAACACTCCATCATTGCCATGAAGCTCTTCTGTCCTGAATCTTGTGTGTGGTCTTTACTGGGCATGTATTTACGCCATGGCTGTCCCTAACTTTTGTTCAGCTGCGTCGCCCTTGGTTTCATGTACAGGCTCTTTGGCCTAGGCTGTCTCTTGATGGAGCAGACCTCAGTAGCCCAGGCGATTTTCTCTTTGAAGAACTTATAGGCATCTTCAACATTGAGGTTCTCCATCAGGGACCAGTCCATTAACCTGAGGATGTCTGCCAGGTGCTCGTAATTCGTGTGCGTCAGCTCGCGGAGACGAGGAGATTGCAGCCCAGAGTAGCAGACCAAGGTGTACCTGATCAACCACATGGTTGCTGTTTCCAAGCCCAGGCAGGTATTCGATTTTGCTGACCATTCCCTCCTTGTTTGTTAATATGAGGTCCAGGACATTTGTAGCTTCACCCAGCCAGTGGCATGTGGACCGCTGGACATGCTGGAACAAAAAAACCCTGGAGGGTCTCCATCAGTGAGTGGGTTGGGTGGCTCTCTGGAGCTGATGACGGCTCTGTTCCCTGGTCAATCTGAGGCAAGTTAAAATCGCCTACAATCATCAGGTGAGAAAACTGGTCTCTATACACTCTTTGAATAAGGTCTTTCAATTGACACACTGTCTTTGATGTTGCCTGATGGGTTTCTGTGTATGCAGCCAAGTATTTAGGTGTCCTTCCCACTTCAAGCCATTTTCAGCCACACTTGCTCCAGGGTACTTGGCCTAGAGGAGTGTTTTGCTGCATTTAGTAGGTTAGACACATAGACACATATGCCTCTCTCACCACTAGATGGTGCAATGGGAAGCTTCTGGGTTTGGGGAGGTCATTGGTCAAAAGCATGATATCTGGCTTGCTGTCAGAAATAAGCATACACAAGTCATCCATTTCACTGATGAACTGGTCTACATTGGTGTATGATACCTTCAGACCTTGCCTCCCATGCACTGTGCAGCATTATGTAGTCCTTGTGGACCTAAGGAGCCAGGATCAGCCTGAGCATGAGTATAGTAATCCATGAATCCATCCTGAGTGGCTGAGGTTGTTGTGGGCCAGCAGTCCTGCTAGGGTCCCCGGAGCCCCCAGGACCCTGAGTAGGGTGCCCTATAATATCCTCACCAGCAGGGTCCAATACATGGGGGCATCTCACTTGGGTGCCCCTTAAGTTCCCACTCAGGTTAGTCATTGTTGGTCCTGGTGGGAGAATGATGCGGTGCCTCTGGGACCATCAATTGGACAGGCTGCTAGAGGTGTTGATGTTTCATCAATTTGGAGGATAGATGGAGCTGCCATTGGTACAGTAGGATGAACTACACTGGTACCTCTGGGCCTGTCAGGTACTTGTGTTGATGGGCACTCTGCCTGATGACCTTGTCCTGCCTGATCAGTAGGTCGAGCTCACTTGTCTCCCTTCTCCTAGGGTGCATCTCTCAGTTTCTTATCCTTCTCCCTGTCTTTATGGGCTTTGCTGTAGGTCCTAACCATCTGACATTCAGATGATTTATGGCTGAGACTATCAGTTTGACCCTGGCCATGTGTGAAGTTTTATGCTCAGCTGTCCCCATGCCCTTGAACTAGGGATTCATCCAGCAATTTTGACAATATGTGTAAGACTGGAGAAATGAATTGTATGTTGTTTTAGCAGTTTTTATCATTTTTCAGTGTTCAGCTCTCCCCTGCCCTCAACTGATTTTGTGAAACTGTCCCAATGCCTGGCATATAAGGAAATATATATATATATATATATATATATATATATATAT